TTTTGTTGTTGTTGTTATTTTTGCTTTTAGATTTTCTGTGATTTTTCACAAGGACAATCATGTCATTCGTGAATATGGGAAGTTTTATTTCCTCCCAAATACATTTGCCTTTCATTTCTTTTTCTTGCCTTTTGCTACCAAGAATTTCTATGTGTTGAATTTATTTGTGAGAGTGAATAGTTTTGTCTTCATACTGATCTTGAATACTGCCAACCTAGAATCCAAGTACAACCTGAATGGCTGGATTAAAGGGGAATCAGAAGGCACATGTTAAGAATGAAATGCCTTGTATAATGTAAGACATATTTCTCTGTGGTAACATGAAGAGAAGAGATTCTTTTGGGGAATCTCTAATAAAGGGAAACATGTCTGTGATTTAGTAACCTTGTCATATTTCATTGGAAGGTGTCAAGTTTAGCTCTTATTTCTAGCATCATGTTATCTGGGTGCCATATGATGATCATATATTCTTGGTTGATTAACCTAGGCGAATTTAGTTAGACCATGTGAAAATGTACAATTCAAGATAGAAAAGATAATTGGGTGTGAATTTTATTCCTACCGTATAGAAAGACTTGAGATTAAATTTAGTTAAATACTGTCCAGTTATGATATATTTCAGGATTTCAAAAGAATCATTGTGTAACAGAAAAACTGAGGGTTAGACCTTCCCATCCCATCATTCTTACATGAGTTCAGGAGCAAAGGGAAGAATTGGGTTCATGATCTTATGGAAAAGAGTTAGAATTTTCTGATTCATAAATCTTTTCACAGAACCAGATTTAGTTGTACTCCTTGTTTGGTTCTGTATTTGTCTTTTAATTTATTTGCAGTATTTATAGTATTAGAAGAGGAAAATGCCATCTTTTCACTTAATTTCACGCTTCTTCCTTATACTCCATTTATCCCTTGTGACACATCCTGAGTAAGAATATGCCATTTAATTTCACCAAAATGAGTACTGGAATGAGAGGCCAGGATTAAAGACCAAATACATTTAATTGACTATGGCTTGGAGATGAGATTTTCACTGTGTCAAGCTGTCACTTGAATCTGTGAGACAGATATTCTTACAAATGAAAGAAACACATCATTAAAAGAGATTAAGGGGGAAAGGGAGGGGGGCCACTAAATGTTCTCTTCTGAGGTCACCTTTGACTAGAAAGAAAACTTCTAGGACTGAAAGACTCCTCAAACAGTGGAATCTGAGATATACATTCTTCCCACCTCCCCACCTTCACCTTCTCTTTCAGCAGTTACAGAATTTCTTCTTTTTGATGTCACCTTTACTTTTTTTCAGAGCAAGAGATTCAGCCACTGGCAGAGCTAAGTTAACTTTCTAAAGTCTTCACACTGCCCTGCACCCTTATAATTGTGTTCCTTCAATCTCTAGGTCTGAAAATATCAGGAAGATTCTTAGTGGCTCCGTTTGGGTGACCTTCCCATTCTTTGAACCAATCATCATGGCCCAGCGAATGCAGTTCCTTTATTAACTAAACCTATGTGCAGAGTGGACTTCTCTGATTGACCTTTCCCATCCTCCCAGTCTTGTTCCAAACAGGAGGCATGGCTCATTGATGAAATAGAGTATACTAGAAAACAGTAGAATGAAACAATAATTTAGAATAGTCATCTCAGAATCCTTTCACTATGGTATAATGTTTTTGAAGACTTATTGGTTTTTGGTATGTGTATTTTTTGTTAATCACCAAACTCCTGCATTTCCCCCCTTGTTTGTGTATTTCTAAGTGTGACTAATCATTCAGTAAAGGGTATTTCTTAATGTTTTTGTAGTAACAAAAACAATTGAAAAAATCCCAGCTCTACCGTACAGTTTATGTCTCTGAATTCTATCAATTCTGATTTTCCTAGAGTAGATGCATTACTCATAGCAGTAAGGCAGTCCCCTTATTTAATCTTTTCCATAACAGATGGCATTAAAGCTTGATTTCTCACTTAATCTATCTGCTTCTCATTCACCCACTGTAGAGAGTAGTCAGAGGTACTTATTTCCCTTCTAGGCTTTGACATCAAGCTTTATGTGTCCTTGCTCAATCACAATTTCACCTATTTTTAATCTCCCTACACTCCTTCCTTCTCCACAATCTAATTACAGTGTAATATTTGCCATTTCTTTTAGCAACTGTTTACTGTGGCTTTCTGAATTATAAATGAAAAATAGCCAATACTCCCCAAAGTTTTACTTCATTTTATTTATTAAAAATATCATCTCATATAATAAAATTAACATGAATTGAGAATGGCAGAATAATACCAGCATTTTAAAGCAGCTGCAATTATTACATGGAAGATAATTGAGTTACTGAAATGATATTTTTGAAAGTTGACCACAGCTCCTTCTTTGAAAGTGTGGATGACTCACATGTTCAATATAGTTAATTCCCACTTATTTGTGGGACATTACCCAGCAGATGTTATTTATACCTGATTTTTTTCTTTCTACTAGTGCAGGAGAATCTTTTAAATATCCTTTAAAAAGATTTGTATATTTTAGAATATTATTAAATAATTGGAGTGGGAAAAAGGCCTGTAACAATAACTACTAGCATTCTCCTAAGAAATAAACATTATCCAACTAAACATGTTAGCAAATGCCTTTTAAGAATGCACTGAGTTAAGTGTAGTGTATTTTTTTAATGTTTATATATTGAATTAAGTTTGCATTTTACTCAACAGTTTAAGCATCTTTACATTCTTAGATAGATTCTGGTTTGTCATTGTTATTAATGAGTACATTTATGAAAGATGTGTGAGTATTTGTTACTGAGAATGTGTTGCACTTAATAATATCCCTTCTTCATTAGGTTTTGTCATTTTTCTTAAAAAGTGTGAATGGGATTTCTTCATAATCTGGAAGGATTTCTTTAGCTTTTAACTTTCCTTAAAAGTCTAAGAGAAAGCCTGATATGTGAGGCTATTAGATCATTAATGACCTCATTTTAATTTCTTCCTCATCTTTAATTTTCATTTCTTTAGGTCTACCTACTTAAGGTTCACCATAAGCAATTTATATATTTTCAGAAATCCTTATATTTCAACAGTATTTTCAAATATACTCACATAGGCTTTTTAAAACTGTGTCCTTGTAATCTTAAAACAATTCCTAAATTTATTTCCTAAGTGAAGTTCCCAAGAGGTTTAATAATGATTTTCAATAAATATCGCCCATATTTATTCCATTGGGCTCAGAATAATTTTATAGGCACAAATATCAACAAAAGTTTTTATTTTTGTGAATTGTAAAGGGATTTCATAGTTGTTTATACATGTGCAGATTTTTGTTTCATTTTACGTTGTTTGGAGAACTTTGGCAGTCTCATTTGCATATAGTAATTGCATATTTGACTGTTTTACTGTTTTTCAATTCTTCCTATGACTGATTCCTTATATGCACTGCTAAAGGTTCAACAAAATATTTTGCCTCATTTTCAGTGGTTAGAATTCAGTGCCTAATATTCCTGAACAATCGATAGAAAGCTACCTTGTCACATGACTGACTGTATTTCACCATCAAAAGGGTAACAGGCTTGCATCTAAAATATAACCTACACACTATGACACAAACCTATTATTTGTGCACTTAGTACATATAAATAAGGTATCAAATATTATATGTGCTTTTTATCTTTTGATTTATTGACATGGTACAGTGACAGATATCAGGACATGTAACCATCCTAGAACTCTTGAAAGGAAATACCTTGGCAGAAGCTACTTAAGAAAACATGCAGCCTAGATGTATGTTTAGATAGGCTTGCTCCTTAGCTGATGTTCTTCCAAACATCAAAATTGTGCTGAAAGTCGAAATTTTAATAATCTTCTTCCTCTACCTGTAATCAAATCATCAGTCTAACTCTGTCTCATTGAAATACACACCCCAAAATAGAATTCCACACGTTCACATTATTTTTCTCAGGAATTATATAGTCACAATGATGTACTAATCTACATGTGTTCCTTTACCCAAGGATGCATTTCCCGGACGAGAAACCTGCTAGGACGGCTGCCCTATGTGGCTTGAAGTGGATGCTGAAACAGTTGCACCAACGTGTGGAGGTACCCCAGTCACCAGAGCTCAACTCTTTGAGTCCTGTTTGATAAAGGTAGTGTCAGTTAAATTTGTTAGTGGTGAATCAGCATTTAGTATTCCTTGGGATCCTTTTTCAACTTTCTCTCTCTCTCTCTCTCTCTCTCTCTCTCTCTCTCTCAGAAATTATGAGTGGCCCTGAAAAGAAACTTTTTGTTTGGGTTTGGTTTTGGGTTTTTTTTTTTCCTCAATATCCCAGACATTCAAGTCACTAGGTGGGCTTTAACGACTTTTGAGGTTGCTTGAACTGATAGTGGCTCTTGGTCTACATAGGCAGCAGGACAGCCAGGATGTTGGGCAGGACGCCACCGTGAGTGATGGTGACTTTTGCCCAGGACCTTTTGAGCTCCTCTTCGTTGCTAATGGCCAGCTGTAGGTGGTGTGGGATGCTGTGCATCTTCTTGTCGTGGGTCACATTGCTCACCAGCTCCACGATCTGGGTGGTCCAGCACTGCTAGCTACAAGGTGCAGCAGCCCCGACCAGCTTGGCAAAGTTGCCCTTGCGGAGCAGACAATGCACACAGTACTCGGGGAAAACTGCAGGCCACTCTAAATAAATGCAACTTAGCCTTATGCACGTTCTTCCTCGCCATCTCCCGCATCTGGACTTAGCTCAGAAATCCGTTATAACTGAAAAAAAGCAACCGTTAAGACAGGTATCTCCTATATGTATTTCTAGTCGAATGGCAGATTGTGATTTAACATCTGATTGGCTGATAGCCGACAGAGACCCTTACTGATATTGCCTAATTTCCATGCATACCACTACCCATTATCCAATCAGATGTCAGATGCCCAAGACGTCATGGGAGTGCCCTACCTATAAATACCCCTTTCGCCTTCCATCAGATGCCATTTGTTTATCAATCTCCAGTGGAGCTGGACACTAACTATGCCAGAGCTTACTTCAAAGGGTATTACCCTCTCCAAGAAGGGCTTCAACAAAGTTGTCACAAAAACTGCGAAGGAGAATAAAAAGCGCAAGAAATGCCGCAAAGAGAGCTCTTCTGCTTACATCTACCAGGTGCTGAAGCAGGTCCACCCGGACACCGGCATCTCTTCCAAGGCCATGGGCATCATGAATTCTTTTGTCAGTGACATCTTTGAGCGCCTCGCAGCTGAGGCTTCGCGCCTGGCACATTATAACAGGTGCTCAACCATCACCTCCAAGGAGATAAAGACAGCCGTGCGCCTGCTGCTGCCTGGGGAGCTGGCAAAGCATGCTATGTCCGAGGGAACCAAGGCTGTCATCAAGTATACCAGCTCCAAGTAAAACGATCCAACCACCAGATGAGCTTGAGAAACCAAAGGCTCTTTTAAGAGCCACCTACCCATTCTAAAGGCCTGTAGACTGTGTGGTTATCTTATGGGAGCAGCTTTCATTGCTAGTGTTACTAATTTAGTTAGAAAATACTTGCTTCTCTCTCTCGGTCTTTCTTTCTCTCTCTGTCGCTCTCTCCCTCTCTGCAGCTCTCTCCCCGCCTCTCTCCCACTTTCTCTCTCTTACTCTCTTTTTTTTTCCCGTTACAGATCCCCTCTGTAACAGCCCCTTTTAATCTCTTGGTCCTGGCAAAAAAAAAGAAAATACTTGCTCTGACAAGTTCAGTTTTTCACACTATAGTTGAGCAAAAATAAATTCTTTCTATATATACTAGTAACACCTGACTAAATTTATTTGTAAACTTCCCATGAGCAAACCCTAAACTATCTACAGCACTAATAGTGACAGCTCAGATCCTTTATAAGGAATTTCAAGGGAAACCTAATAGAAATTCCAATAATTCCAGGTCCATATGGATGTCTTTCTGTGAATCAAGACTAAGAAACATGACTTGCTTCACTTGACACCTGTTACCTTCAAATCCTTTGTATCAAATGAAAACAAAAAGGACCTGGAGCTGTAGATTTAAGTAAGACCTTAGGGAGTCTAGTACAGAGCATTAGTTCAGACTTTTTTACTTCCTCTTTACTTTGGCAATGGTGGTGAAAAAAATACTTCCTACTGCCGGGCTCTGTGGCTCAGCCTGTAATCCCGTGCCTTTGGGAGGCTGAGGTGAGTGGATTGCCTGAGCCTGTGGGTTCGAGACCCGCCTGGGCAGTGAGACCTCATCTCTACAGTAAATCAAAAAATCAGCCGGGCATGGTAGCGCATGCCTGTAATTCTGGCTACTCGAAAGGCTGAGGTGGAAGGATCACCGGAGCCCAGCAGGTCGAGGCTGCGGTGGCCGGGAGTGGCCACTGCACTCCAGTCTGGGTGACAGAGTGAGACTCCAACTCAAAAAAAAAAAAAAATACTTTCTACTGACCAGGCAAACTGCTCTCAAACTGCTGGGGATTGTCCCAAGTCTGGGTTTTCTTGATCTGATAATGTCCTCTGTATATTTCACTGGGGTGTCTTTATACTGCTGTGTTGCAAAGAGGTTGACTTTGGAGTTTGGAGGTCCTGGGAATGTGGAGATTCTTGCTATATCAACCTAAGTTATGCTGGAATCCAACAATCTGGCTAACCATAATTGACTGAGAGTAACTAACTGAACTGCCTCTATTTTTATATTACTTTTAAATAAGTTACAATAGGATCATTCTTTTTCTGTTTTATGATAGAATATTAAAAATGGTATTTATGTGTTGTATTGCTGGGCTCAAATATTCAAATATTCCACATTTTACCATAGGGTATAACATCAAAACTGGATGCCCAATATTCAAGTCAGAGGACTTTGAGTGCAAGATCCACCATCATGATCATCTAGATGCTTATCCAAGAGCAGACAAGCTTAAAAAAAAATTAGTGTTAACACTGAAAAAGATGACTTAAAAAGAAAGAATTCAGTCACTGCTTCCCAGAAACCTGTCATTTAGTTGGAATTCCCAATTTGATTATTTAATTACTGCTTAGAGTATATATATCTTTCTTTACATTAAAGAAACTTTAGTACTATTTGATAGAAAATGTATACCTAAAATCTATAGGAAAAAAAGTGCTCCACATTTTGGTGCAGAGTGAGACAGTCCCTGTAGAACTTCTGAATGCCTCAGCTGAGAGTGCTCCAAGGTGACAGAAGGGGTGTCATCTCTAATGGGGGATGGGATGTGTCCCAGCTGCCACGATAAACCCCTGGGAAATAGGTATCTGCTTAGATCCTAAATCCCTATTAACTCTGAAGTTGAAAAATGTGTTGTTTTTTAAGCTAGTTCCTCTACTTTGCAGTATATAGTCAAGATTCACCCATTTTGTTATATAGATTAATTGTTTGTTTTTATTACAGAATAACAACCCATTGTATGGTTACACCACATTCTGTACACCCGTTCCACTGCTGAAGGGATCTTGGTTGCTCCTACATTTTTAGCCTTTTTGGGTAAAGTTGTCATAAATATTTGTGTGAGTTTTTGTGTGGACATAAGTTTACAGGTCATTTGGGTAAACACTAAGAGCATGATTCCTGGGTTGTATGGTAAATATGTGTTTAGCTTGATAAATCTGCCAAACTCTCTTCCAAAGGCTGTTCCTTTCTGCATTCCCACTAGCAAGGAACAAGGATTTTTGTTTCTCCACACCCTCATCAGCATTTGTTAATGTTAAGTTTTGGAATAAGTGTATAGTAATAGCTCATTGTTTTTGTTTATATTTCCCTCATAATAAGTTATGTTGAATGTCTTTTTATAGGCTTATTTCACTTGCATACCTTTATGTAAAGGTGCCTGGATTTTTTGTCCACTCTTTAAATGGGTTGTTTAGTTTCTAATTGTTGAGTTTCAAGCATTTTTTTTTGTATATTCTGTATATATGTCTTTTTGCAAATACATAACTTGCAAATAATTTCTTCCAGTCTGTGACCCGTGTTTTTATTCTCTTATGGGTATCTTTCAAAGAACATAAACTTTTAATTTCAAAAATATCCAATAAGTGTAATGCAGGACACAAATATTGGCCATATATAATGTTACACTTTCCTGTAGCTACATTTAAATTAAAACACAAAAAAACAAGTTCAGAAACATTTCAAGAGTTCAATAACAACATGAGACTAGTGGCTACCACATTGGACAGTGTTGCTCTGAACTCTCTCTCCAGGCTATCTAAATCACATCCCTTGACCTAAATAACTACCTATGGCAAATGACTCACAAATTTATATCTGAAGTCCAGAGCTCTGCATGAACTCCAGACCACTATAATCAACTGCTTACTCAACATCACAGTTGCCACTTGCTCAACCACTTCAAAATTATCTCCACGAGGATTTCCAGTCTACCCTGACAGAACTGTTCCTGAATTCCAGCGTTCTCTACATCCGTGGGACCACCCCATTGACATGGTTGTCCAAGCCACAAATGTTGTATTTTTTCCTTGATAGTCTTTCTAGTCAGCCTCCATTTTGATGTATCGACAATATATTTTATTTCCTACATATTTCTGTTACTTCTCATCATCTCCACTCGCCATTTTGTACAAGTGCCCATCACCTCTCACCTGAATTAGTCTCTGATTAGTCTCATTGCCCTAATCTCACATCCTTAAAATCCAATCTCTACCCAACTGTCAAAGTAATCTTTTAATTAAGTAAAAAATTAAAAGTATATTTACTGTGTATAACATGATATTTTGAAATATATATGCACATTGTGGAAGGACTACATCAATCCAATTAAACATACGCATTGCTTCCCATATTTATCATTTTCTGCAGTGAGAACACTTAAAAATCTATCTTGGCAATTTTCAATAATATGACACATTGTTAATAATTCTACTCACCATGATGAACAATAGGTCTCTTGAACTTATTTCTCCTATCTAACTTAAATTTTACATCTTTTGAACATCCCTCACTGCCACCACCCCAGCCCCCTGGTAACCACCATTCTCCTTTTTTCTTCTGTGAATTCAACTTTTCAAAGTTCCACTGGTAAGTGAGATCATGCAGTATTTGTGTGTGTCTGACTTATTTCACTTCACATAACATTTTCCAGGTCCATCTATGTTGTTATAAGGGACAGGATTTTTACCTTTTTTAAGACCAAATATTATTCCACTGTGTATATACACATTTTTCATCCATTTATTTATTGATGGACACTTAAGTTGTTTCTATATCTTGTTTATTGTAAATAATGCTGCAATGAACAAGGAAGGACGATTATCTCTTTAAAGTACTGATTTCATAACCTTTGGATATATACTCAAGTAGTGAGTTTGCTGGATCATCTGGTAGCTCTATATTTAATTTTTTCCATAAAACATGAACAAAAATATCACCATCTTAGATCTTTTTATTCAAAGCACAAATATTAAGCATTTTAAAGACTATTTTAAAAATTATTTCAGACGGGGACGCGGCAGGATGGCGACAGGGCAACCTGGCGTCTGAAGCCCTCTGCAAGGGAGATCTGCAGTGGGTCTCTGACTCTCACCCCGGGGGGCTGGGGACCCCAGCATCGCAGCCTGCTCTACAGACAGAGCTCGGCTGCTGCCATGGAATGACTGGACAGTTTTCACTGCATTCCAAACGGTCCTGTTGCCACCGCTACTGCCGCTGCCGCCCCTCCCCTGCCACCGCTGCCGCTGCCGTGGCCAGCGCTGCCACTGCCGTGGCCAGTGCCACCGCCGCCACGGCCTCTGGGAGGGGTAGCATATCGCACCACGCGGCCCGAGGAGATCCACAAAGAACCGCTTCAGGAAAGATCTGCTGGGATCGCTGCCACCTATCCTGCGGGCAAGACTGTCCTGCCCACCCGGCGTGGGGCTCCTGTTGCCTGCTGGGAGGCAGGCAGCCATCTTGTTCCTGTCCGGCCCCACCCCCTCTGGGGCGAGCAGAAGAGATAGCACCACCTGCTGGCGATTCAAGGGAGTAAACCTACAGCCCCACTGCACTGACAGATTCCAGGACAGTGGGAAGTGGGTTCCACATTATCCACACACCTGTCAGGGAATACCAGGACCTGCAGACAGATTTTGAATCACAGTTCTCCCCTTAAATGCATCTCAAAACTGCAAAAAGGACCACCTCCAACCTACAGTGCAACTTCAGAATTGAACAAAGTAAGAGGACATACTTAAAGAATAGGAGATTAAACAAACAGAAGTAAAACAAATCCCTTTACCCCTGAATAACAGAATTAAAGAAGACGGTGACGTGGAGGGAAGGAAAAAGTAGAGAGGGGGAAAAAACCGCATAAATGAAGAAAAACCAAAAGAAGAATATAGGTCCTACACAGACCCCTGGGAAATCAGACACTGAGAAAACGGATTCTGGAACACAGACAATG